ATGGGGTCTCATATACGTAGTGTATACAGTCCTGAACGTTTTCTTATTCAGATTTCGAAAAGTATTACTCATAATTGCAAGCCTTACGTATTCAATTGATAATATCCGTTTGATGTAGACCGTATAGGCTTTCAACAGCTTTTCACCGCATCTGGCCTCATTAAACCGGTTTTGAAAAACACATTTGGTTCACTGTTGGGATACCGGCCAACTTTAGGGGCAACTGATATATGAAATAAATGTTCCAGTAACAGAACAAGCGCCCAGGCCCAGGTCAGAGTCCAAAGATTGGTAAAAGTGGTGGACCGTCTCTTGCTGAATAGTCAAGATATTTGTGTCTCACTTTCTCGTTCTCATTCTCTCTCTTTCACTCGCTCTCTCTCTCTATCACTCTCGCTCTCTCAGTCAAGGAAAGCGGACACCAGAGATATGGGATTGAACGAGGAAGTTGAAGAGTGCCAATTAGATCACTACCATGGTAATTGGCTTAACCTTGTGACGTTGTGTTCAATGTTGCCAGGAGCGGGGTGTTGACTGGTGAAGTGGGGGGGGGGGGGCAGGCCTGGTGATGGGGGGGGGCAGGCCTGGTGATGGGGGGGGGCAGGCCTGGTGATGGGGGGGGGGCTAGGACCTGTGGGAAGGGGGGAGGGGGGAGGGCAGGACTGGTGGGGCGATAAGGGCGGTGATTACGAAGATAAGTGGAGGCTGGTAACCCACAGATTGATTCCGACACTTACGCCTGAATGGCCCTATGTGCCTGAATAGTTACTCTCAGTCATTGACACGTGGATTAAGATGCCTCTGTGTGTGTGTGTGTGTGTGTGTGTGTGTGTGTGTGTGTGTGTGTGTGTGTGTGTGTGTGTGTGTGTGTGTGTGTGTGTGTGTGTGTGAGATACCCCTCTCCCTCGCCACGTGACATCTTAAAGGCCCTGGCCGACCGTCCAATCACACGGAGATAATCTCTAATCACCAAAGTGAAGGCAATAACATCTTCACGAGCAAGTGGAAGAGGGTGTTGACCCCTGGGAGAGTGCTGGTGACCCTGGGAGAGTGCTGGTGACCCCTGGGAGAGTGCTGGTGACCCTGGGAGAGTGCTGGTGACCCTGGGAGAGTGCTGGTGACCCTGGGAGAGTGCTGGTGACCCTGGGAGAGTGCTGGTGACCCCTGGGAGAGTGCTGGTGACCCTGGGAGAGTGCTGGTGACCCTGGGAGAGTGCTGGTGACCCTGGGAGAGTGCTGGTGACCCTGGGAGAGTGCTGGTGACCCTGGGAGAGTGCTGGTGACCCTGGGAGAGTGCTGGTGACCCCTGGGAGAGTGCTGGTGACCCTGGGAGAGTGCTGGTGACCCTGGGAGAGTGCTGGTGACCCTGGGAGAGTGCTGGTGACCCTGGGAGAGTGCTGGTGACCCTGGGAGAGTGCTGGTGAGAGCGTGAAGGGCCTCAACAACACCGCCCAACATATGTAGGTCAATACAACATGAAACGTAGGAATCATCAGTAACTTACAAATCACCCAACAATATACAGCTCTAAACGTTCAACAATAAGACGTAAATGTCCAAGAAAAATCCAAAATTCTTAACAAAAATCTTAAATGTCCAACAAAACCCTTCACTACTCATATTTATAGTCATGAAGCTCTAAGTGATATACTGTCTTCTGAGGACCTTCAATCTGAGCCAATCTGATGTTAGTGATGTCTTCATCTTTGGAATCAGAAGCACTAAGTCACCCCAATTTTGTGTAAAATCTTCTACCATTAGATATAATAGGTCACTCTTTGCGCTAACTAGCAGTCATTTTCTTCCCACAACTGCCAGATATCGTACACGACTTCAAACTCACAAAGATTCTGGAGCTGACCTCTGCACGACCTCCCCCTACAACGTCTCCGACAACACTGGCATCTTCCGGGCCAATGAGATGACTCGCGGGTCCCTCCCACCTGTCACGTGATCTCCGGTCACACATTCATTGTCAGATTCAAAATTTAAAATTCATGCCATGAGCAGCCAATCGTATGCCAATCTTTCACCTGAGCACCTGGGCACCTTCCCTTTGCCCTCGGGAGCCAAACGCTAGGCTACCCCCTATTGTACACTATTACTCCATTTACCAATATGAATGTCATTGCAAAATATTATATTAAAAAATATCTTTTCATTAATATTACATTTTATTTATTACAGAAAACGGAATGACAAGAAGGGGGTAACTCTTCTGAACCAAGATCAGCTAGGGACTGAAGAACACAGTCTACGTCAAGACCATCATTGATACGTCTCTACGCTCTTTGTTGCGTCTTTCAACCACTTGTAGGACTTTATCCACTTTAAAATTAACGAAAAATACAATAAACTTGGAACATTTCGCCTCTGAAAGAACTGGACGGTAGAGCGCCGACCGTCTTCATGTAGGTCTGAGTTCAGTCCCCGACCGTCCGAGTGGTTGGACACTATTCCTTCCCCCCGTCCCATCCCAATTCCTTATCCTGATCCCTTTCAAGTGCTATATAGTCGTTATGGCTTGGCGCTTTCCCCCCTGATAGTTGCCGTCCCTTCCCCATCGCCTCTGGCATGTCTCAAACGTCGCGTCCTGCCGGGCCGCGGTCCCCTCTCTGTCTTCCCGCCCACTTTCCCTTGAAAAGTCTCCCTCAGGCTTCCATCTACGTGATTGAAGCATCCAGTTTAATCCCCTTCCCACTACCTGTCGATTGAGACACTCTCACAGCCCCTCTATTCCTCTCTCACTCACCCTTCCACCTCTCTCTCTCTCTCTCTCTCTCTCCCTCTCTCTCTCTCTCTCTCACCCTTCAATCAAAACAATTAGCAAATATATAATTCATAGTTAAATGATGTCGCTAATTTAAAACAAATATATAATTCGTAACTCGTAACATTGTTTTATGTTGCAGGAGGAGAGAGATGTGTGGCTAAGACAGTGGCAGGTGCAGAGTATACCTTGGCTCAGGCTTAGGGTGGTGGTGGTTGGGCAGTAATGCGCTACTTGGCGCCACACCGGCTAAAACTCGCACTAGTAACACGTCAGGAAACATTCAACACCTCGGGAGTGTGTTGAGGAAGTACACAGGAGGCTTCGCAGAGGTGTGTAGTGGCCCTCGAGGTGTGTAGTGGCCCTCCAGAGGTGTGTGGTGGCCCTCGAGAGGTGTGTGGTGGCCCTCGAGAGGTGTGTGGTGGCCCTCGAGAGGTGTGTGGTGGCCCTCGAGGTGTGTAGTGGCCCTCGAGGTGTGTGGTGGCCCTCGAGAGGTGTGTGGTGGCCCTCGAGAGGTGTGTGGTGGCACTCGAGGTGTGTAGTGGCCTTCATAACTGTGTCCTGGCCCTCCAGAGGTGTGTGGTGGCCCTCGAGAGGTGTGTGGTGGCACTCGAGGTGTGTAGTGGCCTTCATAACTGTGTCCTGGCCCTCCAGAGGTGTGTGGTGGCCCTCCAGAGGTGTGTGGTGGCCCTCCAGAGGTGTGTGGTGGCCCTCCAGAGGTGTGTGGTGGCCCTCCAGAGGTGTGTGGTGGCCTTCATAACTGTGTCCTGGCCCTCCAGAGGTGTGTGGTGGCCCTCCAGAGGTGTGTGGTGGCCCTCCAAAGGTGAGTGGTGGTCACCAGTCCCTCAAGTTCACCCTGTGTGTGCTGCGCAGTGAAGTGAAGACATCAGCAGTGTTTTTTAGTGTTTGAAAATGTTATGAGGAAGGTGGCGGCCATTGACATCAGTGATGCTGGTGATGGTGTGAGTGATGACCTCCACTGTTGCTGCTGGCGTGTGTGTGTAGGCATGACACTACTGCTGGAGTCGCCAGGCCACATCCCTCCACCAGAGCACAACCACACCCTCCCAGACCTCTTCACGCTCACACTCTCCCTCCTCTCCCACCACCACTCTCCCGGGAGGGGCGTCACCACCCATCACCATCCCTTCACCTATCCCAGTCTGAGCCAGGCCACTGACCTGACCTCCTCCGGTGACCCCAACAGCCGCGCCTACACCAGGAGAACTAAACCACTTCTCTCAAACTACATCAACCACAATACCAACCAAACAACAGTGGTCAACCACGCCGCCGTCAGCGCCGCTGGCGGCCACTTCTTCAAGAACACTAAGAAAGCCGCCACCATTGCCGCCGCCACCAGGAGCCCCGCCGCCGCTGCCACCAGGAGCCCCGCCACCGCCGCCGCCGCCAGAAGCGCCGCCAACATTCCCTTCATCACCACCTGCCTGGAGCAGCTGGCGACAACCTTTACCACCAACGACTCGCTTCTGGCGCCCCACCGGACTACTAATGGTTCTCAAGTGGGCAGCGCTCCCACTACGCCCACGGCCGCCCACCCGTGCAACACCAGCCTCGCCCATGAGGATCCTGGGGCAGGAGGAGGAGTGAGGGGGACAGACACCTTCCTCTTCGACAGGGGCGACGTGAGGGCAGCCCTCATAGCCCTCTATACTGCTGTCTTCATCACTGGCTTCGTGGGTGAGTGGCCTTCGTGTTGGTTTATTATGGCGAGAGAGAGAGAGAGAGAGAGAGAGAGAGAGAGAGAGAGAGAGAGAGAGAGAGAGAGAGAGAGAGAGATAGAGAGATAGAGACAGAGATAGAGACAGAGACAGACAGAGACAGAGACAGAGAGACAGAGAGACAGAGACAGAGAGATAGAGAGACAGAGAAAGAAAGAGAAAGAGACACAGAGAAAGAAAGAGAAAGAGAGAAAAAAAAGAGACAGAGAAAGAGAAAGAGACACAGAGAGAGAGAAAAAATAGAGACAGAGAAAGAGAAAGAGAGACAGAAAGAGAAAGAGAGCGAGAGAGAGAGAGAGAGCTCAGAGATATAGGTCGTTTATCACGTGATGGAAAAATGCCAATCATTTTTAACATACTTTTGGTTTAAAAAAATACAAATGTAATTAATAAACTTTTTTGGATATTAACCGATGCGGGTGACAGTCATATTAAGCTAATACGGCTGACGGCCGCGATGCTCACATGTTTCCGACAGGACACAGCACCGCTCTTGTGCCAGGTAAGTCCACAACGGGCTAACCATAGCCCGTGCTACTTGCCCCGCTCCATTTCTAGATATCACATGTTAAGCATGTGATATCTAGAAGTGTGGGGCTAAGGAGCTAAACCTGGACCCTTCAAGCAGAGCGCACAACATAACACATGTTCACATAGTTGTTAATAAGTTGGTTGTTACCATATTGTAAGTGTTTTAAATGTAGTAGAATATAAAGTAAGAATATAAAGCAGTGCTGGAGCACAGGAGCTGAAGCCATCCCACAACCCCACACGTAAACAAAGGTAGAAGCCCCACAATAAATGGCGTAATGTTTACATCTGACTGGAAAACAAATGACCGTCGTGTTTGTAGCGAACGACTTTAATTTATGAGGAGATTTTGGTGAGGTCAGGACCTTATAGTGGCGGGAGACTGCTGCCCCAAGACTTTTCTCGCCGAATACTTGCTCGGGTGAATTTTTTGTTGCTCAACACTTGGCTGGCTAGATATAAATGTTGCTCAAGAATTTGGTACATAGAATACACCACATTTAATAAAGCGAACTGCTGACCATGGAGGACTTAAAGCATATTAAGTTAGATTGCGAATCGAGAAATCTCCATGCTGGGGAAGAGACATGGGGCGTAAAATTAGTAGAAGTTATACACACACACACACACACACACACGGGCCAAGACCGTCAGTAGTTTCAAAGCGTTATATGACAAAGAGTGCTGGGAAGACGGGACACCACGAGCGTAGCTCTCATCCTGTAACTACACTTAGGTAATTACACTTAGGTAATACACACGCAGGTAACACGTCTCTGCCAGAAGTAATTAAAGGATAAACTTGAGAGTCAGAGAGCAAGATGACAGGAATTAAAACTACCAGAGGTGAAAATTGAGGTCAAATCCCAACCCATCTAATTACGTGGTTATTCTCTCCTCCCTGTTGTCTGTGTTTACTCCCCCACTTATTACTGACCCGCTATTTAATCTATCTGCATCTGTCTGTGTCTCCCTCACTCCCTACATCTCTCACTCGCCTTTCCTCCCCTTTCTCTCACTCTCTCTCACCATGCCCCTCTCTCTCTCTCTTTCTCTCTCTCTCTCTCTCTCTCTCTCTCTCTCTCTCTCTCTCTCTCTCTCTCTCTTCCCCTCCTCTGCCTGTTCTCAATATCTCCGCAATCTTCCTCCCTTCCTGACCAATATTTTCACCGGCAGACAGCCGGAATCTGAAATATTTATCTAAAGTTTCGGTAACTGTACGGGGAATTGAACTGCCAGGGGAAAGCGCCAAGCCATTATGACTATATAGCACTGGGAAGGGATCAGGATAAGGATTTGGGATGGGACGGAGGGAAGGAATGGTGCCCAACCACTTGGACGGTCGGGGTATTAAGCGCCGACCTGCATGAAGCGAGACTGGCTTTACCGTCTAGCCCAAGTAGGTGGAACATATCTGTGATGGGCACTTACGGGCTATTCATGCCCGTGCCACCTTTTGGGTGGCTTAATCTTTATCAATCAATCAATCTGTGATGGGCCACAGACGAGAGAGCTGCAGCATCACTAACCACGTGACTCATGAACCACCCTGAACACCTCTCACACCATCATAAACACAACACCAACATCACAACATGCTTCCATTATATACATGGAACAATGTAGATAATACAAACAATGGTGATAAATGACAGAAAACGCAATAAACATATACACAAAGCATAATGTACAACATTCAAGAACACTTGATAAACATATAGAAAACGAGAGAAATATATAAAATGGTGATAGAGGGGAAAATAATACAAGATATGGCTTTCAGCGCCGTGGAGAGGGGAAGACCTGCTGCATGGGTAACAGCTTCTCCCCTCGAATCAACCTACCCTGGCTTTGCGCCCTGGTGAGGCCACTCCAGACCGACAACCAGAGCGCAACTCCATAGTCTCCTGAGACTGATGGATGACTACTGACTACTGACTACGGGTAGGAAGCCCAACAAACAAAGCTTTGGAACTATCACTTCTCGCATTACACACAGACATCACAATAGCCTGATGCATCAAATAAACAAATCCACTGAGCTAATCGTAGCTCAGGTCGATTAAGGCAGCGTCTGGAATGCTCCCGGACGCAGGTTCGAATCCTCGTCACAGCCCTTGTAGATTTGTTCACTTCTCGCATCTTTACTTCCACTGAGGCTGGCGAATGTTTCAGTGACGCCCCAGACTGTAGAGGGAGTTACACAGGAACGTCCTCGAGAAGACCACAACGCCAGTGCAGGGCTCGTCTACTGTGGAGAAAATTCAACACTCGAGCGACAAAAACCATCGCAGAATTGAGTCAAGTGTCGTACAAGGTACGGCTGAGGACTTCAGCACGAACATTGCAAACCAGACGTGCAAGAATTGATCACGTTGAGATCTTTCCAACACTGAACAAGTTGGAGGATATTAATCCAGACCACAGCTTTAAAAGGTCAAATGTGACACACACACACACACACACACGTGAAAGTTATGTGGTGGAGGCTGACTCCATACACAGTTTCAAGTGTAGATATGATAGAGCCCAATAGGCTCAAAAATCTGTACACCTGTTGATTGACGGTTGAGAGGCGGGACCAAAGAGCCAGAGCTCAACCCCCGCAAACACAACTAGGTGAGTACACACACACACACGGGGCAGCAACCACATGTAGGACAGAAAAGCAGGAGATGCTTTTTCACCCAGAGGGTCATAAACCAGTGGAACATCCTACCCGCCGAAGCCGTAAATGTCAAGACAATTGACGTGAAAATCCAGCTAGAAAAATCCTCAGGAACAATGCAGGAGCCTTTGACAAACTGGCGGCCTCCTGTCCCCGCTGCAGCTGCTAGAGACACGGTGGCTCTCAGAAAGGTCAACTGTAGGAATTAGTGCCTCCTAAGGCACTGAACAAAGCTGGGAAAATATTTTAATCTTTGAGAAGGTGAACTAACCGCCTTGGTTTGACGAAGACGACCTCGGGGTGACCTAACTATAATGTATATACCAACTTACACCACATCTTATACACAAGTTAACCCATCCACTAATCTGCCAACTCACTCCCCTAACCAACCACTCAGCAACCCCCCTAACCATCCACCCAGCAACCCGCCTAACCATCCACCCAGCAACCCACCTAACCAACCACTCAGCAACCCCCCTAACCATCCACCCAGCAACCCGCCTAACCATCCACCCAGCAACCCACCTAACCAACCACTCAGCAACCCCCCTAACCATCCACCCAGCAACCCGCCTAACCATCCACCCAGCAACCCGCCTAACCATCCACCCAGCAACCCGCCTAACCATCCACCCAGCAACCCACCTAACCAACCACTCAGCAACCCCCCTAACCATCCACCCAGCAACCCGCCTAACCATCCACCCAGCAACCCACCTAACCAACCACTCAGCAACCCCCCTAACCATCCACCCAGCAACCCGCCTAACCATCCACCCAGCAACCCGCCTAACCATCCACCCAGCAACCCGCCTAACCATCCACCCAGCAACCCACCTAACCAACCACTCAGCAACCCCCCTAACCATCCACCCAGCAACCCGCCTAACCATCCACCCAGCAACCCACCTAACCATCCACCAGGTTCGCCATCTTCATTAGTCGCCCCACAGTCACCAGAGTGAAGCAGAGATAGAAACTTTAATGTTTACAAAAATGGAGGCTTGGCTGGGACACTGTAACCCAAGAGTCGCACAGAGGGAATTACCTGGCTGGTGGGGGAGATGAACGGTCCGTCCGTGCTGGCCCGCACCACGGACCGTCCGTGCTGGCCCGCACCGTGGGCCGTCTGTGCTGGCCCGCACCAGGGACCGTCCGTGCTGGCCCGCACCAGGGACCGTCCGTGCTGGCCCGCACCGTGGGCCGTCTGTGCTGGCCCGCACCGTGGGCCGTCTGTGCTGGCCCGCACCGTGGGCCGTCTGTGCTGGCCCGCACCAGGGACCGTCCGTGCTGGCCCGCACCGTGGGCCGTCTGTGCTGGCCCGCACCAGGGACCGTCCGTGCTGGCCCGCACCGTGGACCGTCCGTGCTGGCCCGCACCAGGGACCGTCCGTGCTGGCCCGCACCGTGGACCGTCCGTGCTGGCCCGCACCGTGGCTTGTTGACGAACAGGTAATATGGACCCCTGGCCAAGTTCAAAGGTAACCAAGACAACACATACTGGGAGAAGGCTCATACCTGTGGCCCATAACACTGACACTAGCTAAATATGAACACACACACACACACACACACACACACACACACACACACACAGACACACACACACACACACACACACACACACACAAAGACAAACAGGCATACTTACACACACGTAGACTCAACCCAAACTACTTCATTGCCATTTCACTAGCAAAAACAACAGTGAATAAAACGGGAATAAAAGTGAGAAAATGGCGGAGAGAATGACGGAGA